GGCCTCCCAAAGTGCTGGAATTACAGGCATGCGCCACCACGCCCAGCTGACAATAATTTTCTATTACTAATAAGTTTATACAAAAACAAATTCATTCACTAGTTTACCCCAGCTGAAGCCAAGTTAAGGATCTAAAAAACATTTGCCAAAATATTTCCTACTTTTCTATTGGCCTTATTCTTTCTTCAGTTTTCTTATGTTATTTTTCTAGTACAGAACTTCTTAAGAGATACATGTAAAGGGTTCTAAATTTCATTTTTTTAAAAGAAAAAAATCACTTGTTTCATAAACATTTTGCATTCCTGACTTCAGGATTTCAGCTGACTACTCCATGGCCTTCAGACTGGCTCGGCTCAGGGTTGGCGGCACCCTCTAGTTACACCGTATAACCTACAGACACATGCTCCCTGCAGATGGGTGAGGCCTGGGAGGAATGGCTTACATTTCTTTTTTCCTTATTCTTCTTCTTCAACTTTTAAGTTCAGGGGTACATATGCAGGATGTGCAGGTTTTTACAACGGTAAACAAGTTCCATGTGGTTTGTTGCAAAGATCATCCCATCGCCTAGGTATCAAGCCCAGTATCCATTAGCTATTCCTTCTGATGCTCTCCCCACACACACCCCCACCCCATAGGCCTCAGTGTGCGTTGTTCCCTCTCCCCAGGGAACATCATTCAGCTTCCACTTATAAGTGAGAACATGTGGGCCAGGCGCAGTGGCTCACACCTGTAATCCCAGCACTTTGGGAAGCCGAGGTGGGCAGGTCAAGAGGTCAGGAGATTGAGACCATCCTGACCAACATGGTGAAACCCTGTCTCTACTAAAAATACAAAAATTAGCTGGACCTGGTGGCACGCAGCTATAGTCCCAGCTACTTGGGAGGCTGAGGCAGGAGAATCGCTTGAACCAGGGAGGTGGAGATTGCAGTGAGCCAAGGTTGTGCCACTGCACTCCAGCCTGACAGACAGAGTGAGACTCCATCTCAAAAAAAAAAAAAAGAACAAAGAAAAGAAAAAAAAAAAGTGACAGCATGTGGTGATTGGTTTTCTGTTCCTGTGTTAGTTTGCTGAGGATAATGGCCTCCACCTCATCCATGTCTCTGCAAAGGGTGTGATCTTTTTCCTTTTTATGGCTGCATTGTATTCCATATCGTATATGTACCACATGTCTTTGCTATTGTGAATAGCACTGCAATGAACATACACATGGATGTATCTTTATAATAGAATGATTTCTATTCCTTTGGGTAGGTAATCCCAGTAATGGAATTGCTGGACCAAATGGTATTTCTGCCTCTAGATCTTTGAGGAATTGCCACACTGTCTTCCACCATGGTTGAACTAATTTACACTCCCACAAACACTGTAAAAGCATTCCTTTTTCTCTGCAACCTTGCCAACATCTGTTTTTTTGTTTTTTTTACTTTTCAGTAATAGCAAGAATGACTTACATTTGTATCCAAGGGTGGACCAGTTCCTGTGTTTCCCAGCCTGTGAGGAGTCTTCTGTGAAAATCTGAGCTAGCCAGCACCGCATTTCCCATCAATCCCCATCATGTGTTATGGCCACTGACCCAGGCTCCAGGTGCCCGAGTAAACTCAAGGTTTCTAGGCTGTCAGGTCTATGTCTATGCGGGAGACATAGTCAACACTGACCTTGAGGCCTGTGAAGCCCATGGTGTTCTCTTTGGAGGAGGATGGGGGTTGCCCAGTTCCCAGTAGCAGCCCTTTTTCTGGAATTGCCCTTGATTCTCAGAACTATGGTGAACCTGACCAGTGCTAGGATAGTGAAAGGCAAAAGGGACTCTATGGCCCGAACTTGCCACCATCTCTACCAAATTCATTTTCTGGGCACTCTGTGTTGTCCACTTTATCAGGAGCTGAGATGAGCTGAGCTGAACAGGGTGGAACAGAAAGTTCAGGCTCCAAGAGAGGAGGCAGCTGATCCAACAGCAGTTCCAAAATCTGCCAACAGGTGACAGCAGCGCTCCTGCTCTGGCTCTGGCTCTGGCTCTGGTCTCTTACTGGCGTGGGGTCCCCTGGGACTCTGATCTGCAACCAAGCTTTGCCCTGACGATCCTCTGCTTGCCTCAACTCTGCAATTCATCGTGGGCCCTCCAGTCCCTATCAGAAAGCACCTCTAGCAGGATAACATTCTGTGATCTGTTGAGGTTCAGGGACTGTCTTGTGCCCCCTTAGAGTCTGTTTCCAAAGGAGCCTGTTCATTGCACTGGAGGCCTAGGGCGGGGCTACTAGGCAGCTCTGGAAAACCCAGGAGACAACACAGGTCGGCTCAGGCCAGTGTCCACCAGGTAGAGGATTCTGGAGCCCAATGAAGTGTCCCCGCTGCTGTTCTCGCATCTGCGGCCACAAGACCTTGAACCCAGACTCAGCTTCACTCCCTGCAGCCGCAGGCCTGAGCCCAGCCCAGCCTGGTAAGCCTGTGTTCTGGAATTGCTAAACAAAAAGATGAAGGCCTGGCCGGGCGCGGTGGCTCAAGCCTGTAATCCCAGGACTTTGGGAGGCCGAGGCGGGTGGATCACGAGGTCAACAGATCGAGACCATCCTGATCAACATGGTGAAACCCCATCTCTACTAAAAATTACAAAAATTAGCTGGGCATGGTGGCGCGTGCCTGTAATCCCAGCTACTCAGGAGGCTGAGGCAGGAGAATTGCCTGAACCCAGGGGGCGGAGGTTGCAGTGAGCCAAGATTGCGCCATTGCACTCCAGCCTCGGTAACAAGAGCGAAACTCCGTCTCAAAAAAAAAAAAGATGAAGGCCTGAGGGCCTGCGGTCTGGGGCCAAGTGCCAAGCCCTGCCTTCTCCCCTGCCCATCATTCTAAGCAGCCGTGACCTTACTGAATTCAAGCAAGGACCTCACACCCCAACACCCAATGTACCGGTGCAGGAGTCTGCTGTAAAGGCCTCAGATTTCTGGATGAGCACAGACCCATCTGATGGCCCCTGGGAGCTGTTTGTGGCCTGAGTTCTAGTTCTTGGCACTCTATTCACAATCAGGGCAGCCCAGCCTATGTGGGAAAATGAGACCCGGAGAAGTTGGAGAGCCTGCCCAAAGCCTGGGGCCTGAAACATGAGATCTGGCAGGTTCCTGGCTCCACACTCTCATAGCTCCCTGTGACAATCCCTTCACTGCCCACATCACAAGTATAATTTCATGATGCATATGCTTGCCAGGTCTTTTAATGTCCTGCTACCCTTGCAACCTGTAATCCCCATGAAAGAAGGGACTCTGTTCACTCCCGTAACCCCTTGCAATGAGTGCAATGCCTAGCACACAGTAGGTGCTCAGAAAGTAACTGGAATAAATAAAATAATAAATGGACATCCTCCTAAAGTGGACCTTAAATCATTTATAAAATGTTTTACAATTTATAAAGTACCCCCAACAGTGTTCCCATTTCATTCTCCCCACCATCCTGTGAAATAGGTACTATTAGGCTGGGTGTAGCAGCTCACACCTGTAATCCCAGCACTTTGGGAGTCTGAGGCGGGTGGATCACCTGAGGTCAGGAGTTCAAGACCAGCCTGGCCAACATGACAAAACCCCATCTCTACTAAAAATACAAAAATTAGCCAGGCTTAGTGGCAGGTGCCTGAACCCCAGCTACTCAAGGGGCTGAGGCTGGAGAATCGCTTGAACTCAGGAGGCAGAGGTTGTAGTGAGCCAAGATCGTGCCACTGCACTCCAGCCTGGGTGACAAGAGCAAGACTCCATCTCAAAAAAAATTGTTTTTAATAGAAATAGGTACTATTATTACTTACATAATGCAGCATATTCATTTTCTATCTCTGCAACAATGAATTAACGCACATATTGGCTAAAACAACACAAGTTTATTATTTTACAGTATCGAAGGTCAGATGTCCAACACAGGTCCTGTGGGCTCAAATCAAGGTGTGAGCAGGGCTGTGTTCCTTCTGGAGGCCCCAGGAGAATCTGTCTCCTTCCTTTCTCCAGCTTCCAGAGGCTACCCATGCTTCTTGGCTCATAGTTACTTCCTCTAGCTTCGAAGCCAGCAATGCCACATCTCTCTAACTGAAGCCAGAAGAGGTTCTGTATTTAAGGATTCCTAGATTAGATTAGGCCTACATGAATAATCTGAGATAATCTCCCCATCTTAAGGTCTGCAATTTTAATCACATCTGCATGTAAGGTAACATGATCATACATTCCAAACATTAGGATACAGTTTTGTTTTTTGTTTTTTGTGGTGGTAGTGGTGGTGGTAGGGAGAGATATTAGCCTGCCTAGCATACAGAGATTCATAAACAGAGATGAATTAACCAGTCCACCTTGCCCAGCTTGTGACTGAAGTGAGGTTTAAAGCCAACATTTTTGGGCTACAGAATCTGAGCTCTTTATCCCCTTTTCAGGAGCCAGAAGGGAAGGACACACGGCCCCAGTCTCCGTAAAGTAAATACACACTTTCTCTTATTTATTTATTTATTTATTTAGAGACAGGGCCTCTAAATTTAGAGACATGCTGGAGTGCAGTGGTGCGATCACAGCTCACTGCAGCCTCAACCTCTGTGGCTCAAGCAATCCTCTCACCTCAGCCTCCTGAATAGCTGAGACTACAGGCACACACCACCACACCCGGCTAAATTTTTTTATTTTTCTGTAGACACAGGATCTCACTTTGTTGCCCAGGCCGATCTCAAACTCCTGGGCTCAAGTGATCCTCCTGCCTCAGCCTCTCAAATTGCTGGTATTACAGGTGTAATCCCAGCACTGTGCCAGTCCATACTTTATGTTTAGACAGAAAGAACAAAAAGATGCACTTGTCTGGACAGTGAGCTCGGGTGGAAAAACGTTTTATTTGCTCAGCTCTATTACCATTATTTTAGCATAAACACAGCGTTTTCAACTTGAGGGAGAAAGGATTAACCCAGGTCATTGGCTGAGGGTGAAGGCCCACGTGGACGCCCCACAGCCCTCCTCTCTGCAATTAAGCAAATGGCCAGCAGATGGCGGGGCATGCTCACAGCAGGGCCTTTCTCTCCGGACCTTCTCTCTTTTCATGGGCCGCTAGGATTGCAGATGCAAAGGTCTTTTCCTTTCTCTTCTCCAAACCCCACTTAGGAGGAAATCCCCAGAAACATCCCAGCAGGTAAGACAAGGGTATAAAGGCCAGGGGGATGTCCCCCAGCCTCAGGATAGCCAGTTTGGGGATCTGCCCTTCTGCATGCCCAAATCTCTGAACCAGGAACAAAGACCGGCGATCAAGCCGGCAGGAGTTGAGGAAGAGGGTCAGGCATGGCTGCAGGGAAGCAGAAGGCAGGATCAGCTAGGTTACAGGACACTTAACATGGCCGGACCACTTACACATTTTACACACATTTATTATCACATCTCCTCTTCCCTGTGACCCAATATGGAACCTGACATCAAAAATACCGAACTGACTGGGAAGATGATTTGTAGCAATGCCAGTACAGTTTTTGAACCCCTCCAAATTTCTACATAAAAATAAGCAGTCAGGCCAGGCACGGTGGCTCACGCCTGTAATCCCAGCACTTTGGGAGGCTGAGGCGGGCAGATCACCTGAGGTCAGCAGTTCAAGATCACCCTGGGCAACATGGCGAAACCTCATCTCTACTAAAAATACAAAAATCAGCCCGGTGTGGTGGCACACACCTGTAATCCCAACTACTCAGGAGGCTGAATCAGGAGAATCACTTGAACCTTGGAGGTGGAGGTTGCAATGAACCGAGATTGTGCCACTGCACTCCAGCCTGAGCAACAGAGTGAGACTCTGTCTCAAAAATTAAAGATCAGCAGGTTAGATTAGCAAAAGCAAAATCTACAATGTCACCTTAAAATCACGTGATAGGTATCCCCATGAACACCAAAACACAAGCAAGGGAGCACAGCCCTCCCACAGCTGCCTGCATGTCATCAGATCCTGCTACATTCCCCCAGAGAGACTTCCCTGGTTTAGATGCCAGCCCCTGGTACCCCATCCAGCAGCCAGCAGAGGGAAACAAGGGGCCTTCTGATGGACCTGAGAACAGGTGAATACTAAAAGAGCCAGCAGGCATTCACGAGGAAGCAAGGAGGGACAACTGGAGACAGCAGCAGAAGCTGGGAGGGTCTCGCCCAGTCCGGGAGCAGGTGAGAGTCAGCAAGGACCGAGGGACTGCAGCAGCAAAGCCTTGAGAATCCTCCACACTGATCTGCTTAGCTTCGCTTCCAGGACAGGATCGTATAGTGCTGGGTGGGATCAAAATGGAGCAGGATCTGGACAATCAAAAGGAAGGAGAAGGCCGGGCACAGTGGCACACGCCTGTAATCCCAGCACTTTGGGAGGCCAAGGCAGGTAGATCACTTGAGGTCAGGAGCAAAACCAGCCTGGCCAGCAGGGTGAAACCCTGTCTCTATTAAAAAATACAAAAATTAGCTGGATGTCATGGCAGGTGCCTGTAATCCCAGCTACTCAGGAGGCCGAGGCAAGAGAATTACTTGCACCTGGGAGGTGGAGGTTGCAGTGAGCCGAGATGGTACCACTGCCCTCCACTCTGGGAAACAGAGCAAGACTCCGTCTAAAAAAAAAGAAGAAGAAGAAGAAGAAGATTCAGTGAGGCAGAGGGAGGAAACTGAGCCAAGGAACCTCAGGAAGCAAGCCATCACATTTTTGCACACCACATGAAAACTACAGGAGAGGGCGCTCTTGAAGTTAGAAACGCCATCCTGATGATCTCTTTCTTCAAGTTTAATTCCACGTAAAAATGAACAATGGAAAAGTCTTGAGGCCAAATCCCATGCAAAGTTAAGTTAAGCAAAAGGAGAATAGGGAGCAAAATGACATTCCTACAAACAGAAAAGGCATGCCAGCAGGACATAACTCAGAAGAGATTAAAACTGTAATCTTCTATTTAAAATGACCTAAAAGGCATTTTTCAATTATGCAAGATCTGAAAGAACAACGTAACTGAGAATTAGAAAATCATATAAATAAGGTGACACAAATCAGGAAAGAATTTAAAACATAAGAAAAAAATCTCAGGAATGAAGGCTAGAAGGAACATAAGAGCAGACTGATGCAACGTTAAGAAAATGCCTTAAAAGAAAAAGGTGAAAAGGAAGAAATATTTTAAATCAATAGGAAATCAAGGCTATTTTCTAAAATATTCTAGAGAAAGTGACAAATATTGAAATTAGGCAAAGAAGTTCCAACGGATCAATAAGAAGCGTTCTTGAAGAATAAAACCAAAGTGTGAGGACAACAAATAATAAAAACAAAATGAAGAGAACTTACTGAAATGTTTAAAAATTGAAATCACATATTGAAAGCACACACTGCATCTGAAAAATATCAACCCAGAATAATCAGACATATTCAAATAAAATGACAGACTTCAAGAAAAGTGGGGTGGGGAGAGGAGAATCCTTCAGGGATCTAGGCAAATAATTGATTTATAAGGAAAAATCGATTATTATCGGACTTCTCAAGAGCAATGCTTTACATCAAAACAAAGAAGTTACATATTTAGGATGTTCAAAAACAACGAATGTGTTAATAATGTTATGTCCAGCAAAACTGATTTGAAAGTATAATGGGCACAGGCAAATTGTTATTAGCATGAAATAACTCAGGGGACAGTGTTCTCATGAGCTCTTCCTGAAAACCTCTTAGATAAAAAGCTTCAGACAAGCAAAATGACTGGAAAGACAAAAAATGAAATTTTAAAAACTGGTAGTGAACATTAAATACATAGTTATTTATGCAATTAACTCTAAGAATTGTAAAGGAGAAAATACAGCAAGTAATGGCTATACACTGACAATGTAGCTAAAAGACCACTTTTTTATTTTTAATTTTTGAGAGTACATAGTGCATTTTTTTTTTTAAGACCGAGTCTCACTCTGTTGCTCAGGCAGTGGCACCATCTCAGCTCACTGCAACCTTGCCCTCCTGGGCTTAAGGGATCTTCCTGCCACAGCCTCCCAAGTAGCTGGAACCACAGGTGTACACCACCATGCCCAGCTAATTTTTTAAGGTTTTTTGTAGAGACAAGGTCTGACTATATTGCCCAGGCTGGTCTAGAACTCCTGGGCTCAAGTGATCCTCCTGCCTTGGCCTCTCAAAGTGCTAGGATTACAGGCATGAGCCACTGCACCCAGCCATAAGTGTATATATTAGTATTGGTGGGTTATATGAGATATTTTAATAGAGGCATGCAATGTGTAGTAATCAGATCAGGTTAAATGGAGTATCCATCACCTCAAGCATTTATCCTTTGTGTTACAAACAATCCAATTACTCTTTTGGTTATTTATTTTATTTTGAGATGGAGTCTCGCTCTGTTGCCCAGGCTGGAGTGCAGTGGTGCAATCTAGGCTCACTGCAATCTCAGCCTCCCAGGTTCAAGCGATTCTCCTGCCTCCACCTCCTGAGTAGCTGGGATTACAGGTGTGTGCCACTACACCTGGCTAATTTTTTCTTATGTTTTTAGAAGAGACAGGGTTTCACCATGTTGGTCAGGCTGGTCTCAAACTCCTGACTTTGTAATCCACCCGCCTCAGCCTCCCAAAGTGTTGGGATTACAGGCATGAGCCACTGCCCCCAGCCTTGCAGTTATTTTTAAATGTGCAACTATTTTTTACTATAGTCACCCTGTTGTGCTAGCAAATACTAGGTCTTATTCATTCTTCCTAATTTTTTATACCCATTAACCATCCTTCTACTGTCTCCATGAGTTTAATTATTTTAATTTTTAGCTCCCACAAATAAGTGAAAACGTGAAGTTTGTCTTTCTGTGCCTAGCTTATTTCACTTAACATAATGACCTCCAGTTCCATTCGTGTTGCAAATGACAGAATACTATTCTTCTTATGGCTGAATAGTATTCCACTGTGTATATGCACCACATTTTCTTTACATGTTTCAAACATTTCTTTCTTTTTTTTTTTTCTTTTTTTGAGACAGAGTTTCGCTCTTGTTACCCAGAGGCTGGAGTGCAATGGCGGGACCTCGGCTCACCGCAACCTTTGCCTCCTAGGTTCAGGAAATTCTCCTGCCTCAGCCTCCTGAGTAGCTGGGATTACAGGCACGCGCCACCGTGCCCAGCTAATTTTTTTTGCATTTTTAGTAGAGACGGGATTTCACCATGTTGACCAGGATGGTCTCGATCTCTTGACCTCGTGATCCACCCGCCTCAGCCTCCCAAAGTGCTGGGATTACAGGCTTGAGCCACCGTTGCCCGGCCTCAAACATTTCTTTAAATGTTTTCATATAAACATTTTTCTGTTGATGGACACATAGGTTGCTTCCAAATCTTGACTATTGTGAATAGTGCTGCCTATAAATTTTAGGATTGTTTATTCTATTTCTGTGAAAAATGTCATTGGTATTTTGATACGAATTATATTGAATCTGTAGATTCCCTTGGGTAGTATGGACATTGTAACAATAGTTATTCTTCCAATCTATGAATATGAAACATGGGAGTGCAAATATCTCTCCAATATGCTGATTTCTTGCTTTGGGATATATACCCAGCAGTGCGATTCCTGGATTTTATGGTAGCTCTTTTTTTAGTTTTTTGAGGAAACTCCAACTTGTTCTCCACAGTGGTTGTACTAATTTACATCCTACCAACAGTGTGCCAGGGCTCCTTTTTCTCCACATCCTCACCACATTTGTTATTGCCTGTCTTTCGGATAAAAGCCATTTTAACTGGGGTGAGATGATATCTCATTGTAGTTTCGATTTGCAGTTCTCTGATGATCCGTGATGTTAAGAACCTTTTCATATGCCTGTTTGCTATTTATATGCCTTCATTTGGGGAATGTCTATTCAGATCTTTGGCAATTTTTAATAAAATTATTAGATTTTTTTCCTATACAGTTGAGCTCCTTATATATTCTGGTTATTAATCCCTTGTCAGATGGGTAGTTTGCAAATATTTTCTCCCATTCTATGGGTTGTCTCTTCACTTTGTTGATTGTTTTCTTTGCTGAGCAGAAGTTTTTTTAACTTGATATTATCCTATTTGTCCATTTTAGCTATAAATTTCCCTCTTAGTACTGCTTTTGCTGTATCCAGTAGGTTTCGGTATGTTATGTTTCCATTATCATTTGTTTCAAGAAATTCTTTTATTTCCTCCTTAACTTCTTCATTGACCCACTGGTCATTCAAGAGCATACGGTTTAATTTCATGTGTTTGTGTAGTTTCCAAAATTCCTCTTGTTATTGATTTCTGGTTTTATTTCATTGTGGTCAAAAAGATGCTGGATATATTTTTCAACTTTTTAAAATATTTTAAGATTTGTTTTGTGATCTAACATATGATATATCCTTGAGAATGATCCATGTGCTGAGAAAAAGAATGTGTATTCTGCAGCCACTGGATGAAATGTTCTGTAAATATTGTCCATTTAGTCTATAGTACAGATGATGTTTGATGTTTCATTGTTGATTTTTCTGTCTGGAACATCTGTCCGATGCTAAAAGTGGAATGTCAACGCCTCTAGCTATTATTTTATGGGAGTCTGTCTCTCTCTTTAGCTCTAATAGTATTTGGTTTACATATCTGGGTGCTCCAACGTTGGGTACATATATATTTACAATTGTTATATCCTCTTACTGCATTCACCCATTTATCATTATATGGTGACCTTATTTGTCTCTTCTTATAGTTTTTGTCTTGAAATCTATTTTGTCTAATATAAGTATAGTGATTGGTGCTCTTTTTTGGTTTAAGAGGCATGGAATATTATTTTTCATCCCTTTATTTTTAGTCTATGTGTGTGAAGTATATTTCTTGTAGGCAACAGATCATTGGGTTTTCTTTAAATTATTTTTATTTAGCCACTCTATGTCTTTTGATTAGAGAATTTAGTCCATTTATATTCAATGTTATTGATAAGTAAGGACTTACTCCTGCTATTTTGTTATTTGTTTTCTGGTTGTTCTGTGGTCTTCTTGTCCTTCTTTCCTTTTTTTCTGTCTCCTTTTAGTGAAGATGATTTTCTCTGGTGGTATGATTCAATTTATTGCTTTTATTTTTTGTGTATTCATTGTTGTTTTTTGATTTGAGGTTACCATGAGGCTTGCAAATACTATCTTATAACTCATCATTTTAAGCTGATAGAAATTTCATAGTGCTTGCATAAACTAATAAGCAAAGAGAAAACTAATAAAACTCTACAGTTTAACTTTATGCACGTTTTTAACTTTTTGTTTTGATTTATGTCATATTGTACTGCCTGTGTCTTGAAAAGCTTTTGTGCTCATTATTTTGTATTGGTTCATCTCTTAGTCCTTCTACTTAAGAGTAGTATAACACACCACAGTTACAATTTTATAACATTCTGTTTCTGTGGATTTACTATTACCAGTGAGTTTTGTACCTTCAGGTAATTTCTTATTGTTCATTAATATCCTTTAATTTCTGATTGAAGTATTGCCTTTAGCATTTCTTGTAGAATAGGCCTGGTGTTTGATGAAATTCCTCAGCTTTTGTTTGTCTGGGAAAATATTTCTTTTTCATGTTTGAAGGATATTTTCATCGGATATACTATTCTAGGGTAAAAGGCTTGTTTTTCTTCAGCACTTTAAATATGTCATGCTACTCTCTCCAGCCCTGTAAGGTTTCCACTGAAAAGTCTGTGGCCAGACATATTGGAACTCCATTGTATATTATTTGTTTCTTTTCTCTTGCTGCTCTTAGGGTCCTGTCTTTATCCTTGATCTTTGGGAGTTTGATTATTAAGTGTCTTAAGGTAGTCTTTGGGTTAAATCTGCTTGGTATTCTATAACCTTATCATACTTAGATATTATTATCTTTTTCTAGGTTTGAGAAGTTATCTGTTATTACCCTTTTCAATAAACTTTCAACCCCTATCTCTTAACCTCCTCTTAAAGGTCAGTAACTCTTAGATTTTCTCTTTAGAAGCTGTTTTCTAGATCTTGTAGGTATATCTTATTCTTTTTTATTCTTTTTTCTTTTGTCTCCTCTGACTGTTTTCAAATAGCCTGTCTTCAAGCTCACTAATTCTATCTTCTGGTTGATCAATTCAGCTATTAAGAGACTCTAATGCATTCTTCAGTATGTCAGTTGCATTTTTCAACTCCAGACTTCCTGCCTGATTCCTTTTAATTATTTCAATATGATTGTTAAATTTATCTGATAGAATTCTGAATTCCTTCTCTGGGTTATCTTGCATTTTTTCAAGTTTCCTTCAAACAGCTATTTTGAATTCTCTGTCTGAAAGGTCACATATCTCTTTCTTTCCAGGACTGGTCCCCAGTGCCTTATTTTATTTGTTTGAAGGTGTCATGTTTTCCTGGATGGTCTTGATGCGTGTGGATGTTTGTCAGTGTCTGTGCATTGAAGAGTTAGGTATCTGTTGTATTCTTCACAGTCTGGACTTGTTTGTACTTGCCTTTCTTGTGGACAAGTACAAACAAGCCCAGACTGTGAAGGACAAGTATTGTGGAAGGACAAGTCTTTACATGTATTCAAAGGGACTTGGGTGTTGTGATCTAAGTGTTTGGTCACTGCAAATGTATTTGCATTAAGAAACCCCAAGCCCAGTAATCCTGTGGTTCTTGCAGAGTTACAGAGGTATCACCTTAGTAGCCTTGGATAAAATCCAGAAGAATTCTCTTGATCACCAGGCAGAAATTCTTGTTCTCTTCCCTTACTTTCTCCCAAACAAATGGAGACTTTCTCTCTGTGCTGAGCTCCCTAGAGCTGGGGAAGGAGTGCCACAAGCACACCTGTGGCTGCGATCACTGGGACTGTGCTGGGTCAGACCTGAAGCCAGTGCATCATTAGGTCCTGCCTAAGGCCTACTGTAACCACTACCTAGATACTGCCCATATTTGCTCAAGGCCCTTGGACTCTATGATCAGTAGGTGGCAAAACCAGCCAGCCTTCCCTTCAAGGCAGCCAGTTCCCCCAGTAACTGTCCTTCCCTTCAAGGCAGCCAGTTCCCCCAGGCCCCAAGCAGGTGCAAAGATGCTGTCTGAGAGCCAGAGACTGGAGTCAAAAGCTTAGAAATCTACCTGGTGTTCTATTCTACTGCAGCTGAGCTGGCACTCAAACCATGAGACGTAATCCTTCCCACACTTCCCTCCCCCTTCCACAGGCAGAGGAGCCTCAACCTGTGGCCATCACCACTGCAGGACCATGGGGACTACTGCCAGGCTACCATCAATGTTCACTTAAGAACCAAGGGCACTTCAGTTGGCTTGTAGTGAATGTTACTAAGCCTGGGACTTATCCTTCAGGGCAGTGGGTTTCCCTCCCACCCAGAGCAGGTCCAGAAATGGCATCCAAAAGTCAAGGTCTGGAATCAGGGACCCCAAGAGCCCTGTTTATGCTCTAGTCCACTGTGGCTGAGCTAGTATCTAAGGTATAAGACAAAGCCCCCTTTGCTTTTCCCTCTGCATTACTCAAGCAGGAGTTCTTTCTATGGTTCTGACCATAGCCACCATAGCTGGGAGTTTGCTGGGTCTCACCTGAAGCCAACATGTCTCAGTCTCACCCAAAGCCCATGGTGTACTACCAGGGTATTGCTGCTGGTTATTCAAGGCCCCAGGACTCTTTAGTCAGCAGGTAATAAATCCTGCCAGGACTGAGTCCTTCCTTCAAATCAGTAGGCTTCCTTCTGGCCTAGGGTGTGTCTAGAATTATCATCGAGGAGCTGGATCCTGGAATGGGGACCTCATGACTCTGACTGGCACCTTATCCTACTGTGGCTGAGCTGGTATCCAAGATGCAAGACAAAGTCCTCTTTACTCTTTCCTCTCCTCTCCTCAGGTAGAAGGAAGGAGTCTCTTTTGGAGCTGCAAGCTTGCTACCTGGAGTTGGGGGAGGGATGGTGCAAGTACTCCCTTAGCTCCCCCAACTGGTGTCTCAGTAGTTCATGTGCCCACCATGTCCACTGGCTCTGAGCCCCCAGCCCAGCACTAGGATTCACCAAGGAGCTACAATCCTTGTGACCTAGATTGCCTTTCAAGTTTATTTACAACCCAGAACACTTTATCACTATGGTGGTGAGGCTTGCTGAAACTCAACTTCCCTCAACTGGGTTGGGCAATTCCCCTCTGGTTAGGGCTCGTCTAAATACTCTCTCCATTGGCAGCCATCAGCTGAGTTCAGTTCACTTTTGCTTTCATTGTGACAGGGCAGCATCAAATTCAATGCAGTGTCTCACGATGGCTGCACTCTCCCTCTTCCAAGCACAAAGATTCTCTCCATGCCACACAGCCCTGGCCAGGGGATGGGAATGGGTGGCATCAGCAACTCAAGACTGTCTTCCCTACCCTCTTCATTGCCTCTTTCAACGGTATGAAGTTAAAACCAGGTACTGTGAGTGCTCACCCAATTTCTAGTTCTTACAAAAGTGTTTTTTTTTTGTGTGTAGATAGTTGTTAAATTGTATGTTCCTGTAGGGGATGGGGAAATAAAGCCTTGTATTCAGCCATCTTGCTCCACCTCCTACAACAGTGGTCCCCAACCACCTGGCCATGGACTGGTACCGGTCTCTGTGGCCTGTTAGGAACCAGGTTGCACAGCAGGAGGTGAGCAGCATGCAAGCAAGCAAAGCTTCATCTGTATTTACAGCCGCTCCCCATTGCTCTCATTACCACCTGAGCTGCTCCTCCTGTCAGATTAGTGGCAGCATTAGATTCTCATAGGAAAGCAAACCCTACTGTGAACCATCCATGCAAGGGATCTAGGTTGCATGCTTCTTGTGAGAATCTAGTGCCTGATGATCTAGCACTGTCTCCCATCACCCCCAGATGGGACCGTCTAGTTGCAGGGAAACAAGCTAGGGCTCCCACTGATTCTACATTGTGAAGAGTTGTATAATTATGTCATTATATATTACAATGTAATAATAATAGAAATAAAGTGCATAATAAATGCAATACACTTGAATCATCACAAAACCCAATCCATGGAAAAACTGTCTTCCACAAAACCTGTCCCTGATGCCAGAAAGGTTGGGGACCACTGCCCTACAAGACAGTTTTAAAATATGGATAATGGGAAGAGCATATTCAAAAACACAACAAAGTTTTAAACTGTTTCCAGCAATTATCTTGTTGGTGCTATTACTGTTGTCATTTTGAGACTATTGTGTGTGTAGTGTAGGATAAAGAAAGTAGGTAATTACAGAATGTTTTAATTCTATCATCTCTTGTATTGTTGAGGATCTGGTTCTCAATATGGAAGAAAGGAGAGATGTAATAATATAGAAGAGATTAAGCAAAAAAACTAAAGTGTGAATTGGAATTATTAGTATGAACACCGGGTGCTGTCCTCCTGGTTTCTGGCTGAAAGGTGTGTGTGTGATAAAATATATTTCCTAATGACCAAATCAGTAGCCATTTGTGTCCCTAGCATCCACACAGTGGTCATGAACCCCTATTTTCCATTTAAAAATAAAAAGGGGCCAGGCACAGTGGCTCACCCCTGTAACCTCAACACTTTGGGAGGCCCAGGCAGATGGATTGCTTGAGACCAGGGGTTCAAGACCAGCCTGGGCTACATGAAGAAACCCCATCTCTACAGAAAACACAAAAATTCACTGTGTGTACTGGCACATGCCTGTAGTCACAGCTACTCAGGAGGCTGAGGTGGGAAGATCAGTTGAGCCCAGGAGCTCAAGGCTGCAGTGAGTCATGATGGCGCCAGCGCACTCCAGCTTGGGCGACAGAGTGAGATCCCATCTCAAAAAACATATAAAAATAAAAGGGCTTCTTGGAGAAAAAGCTCATTCCAGGTCTGGGGCAGAATATCATGAATGCAGATGAATTTGGTACATTTTGTCCAAAAGAAAGCACGGTATCAGAGACATCAGAGATGACTCTCTCAGAGACGACTAGGGCTATTGCAAAAGGACTCAAGAGCCAACCTAAAGTGGGTCTCACTGGCCAAGAATGGAACTATTTGGGCTTCAAAAAGAGTAATTCTTATAGAAACTATGGTTTAAATTAATGTTTTAAAACCTTTTTTAAAAAAAGAATTGTTGGCGGGGCATGGTGGCTCATGCCTGTAATCCCAGCACTTTGAAAGGCCGAGGCAGGAAGATCACTTGAGGCCAGAAGTTCAAGACTAGCCTAGCCGGCATGGCAAAACCTTGTCTGTACTGAAAATACCAAAGTTGGCTGGGCGTGGTGGTGTGTGCCTGTAATCCCAGCTACTCGTGAGGCGGAAGCATACGAATTGCTTGAACCCAGGAGGCGGAGGCTGTAGTGAGTCAAGATGGCACAACTACACTTCAGGCTGGGTGACAGAGCCAGACTCTGTCTCAAAAAAAAAAAAAAAAAGGAACTCTCGTTGTTGTTATTTTGAGACAGGGTCTCACTCTATCAGCAGGCTAGAATGCAGTGGGTTCCATGATGGTTCACTGCATGGAACCATCATGTGCCTGGGACTACAGGTGCACACCATCATGCATGCCTGGCTTAAAGTCTCTTTCATGGCTCACTGCAGCCTCAACTCCTGGGCTCAAGCAATCCTCCCACCTCAGCCTCCTGAGTAGCTGAGACTACAGGCACATACCACCATGCCCAGCCGATTTTTGTATTTTTTGTAGAGATAAGGTTTCACTTGTTGCCCAGGCTGAACTCCTGGGCTCAAGTGAGCCTTCTGCTTCAGACTCCCTAAGTGCTGGGATTACAGGAAGAAGCCACTGCACCCAGCCAAAAAAGAATACTTTTTATAGCCGATTGTAATCCATCAAATATGGTTAAATCCTAGAGCTTGTAATGATATTGAAAAGAACCCTTATTGAGGTTTCTTATTGAACTCCTGAACACCTGAGGTCGGGAGTTCGAGACCAGCCTGATCAACATGGAGAAACCCCATCTCTCCTAAAAATACAAAATTAGCCAGGTGTGGTGGCACATGTCTGTAATCCCAGCTACTTGGGAGGCTGAGGCAGGAGAATCACTTGAACCCGGGAGGCGGAAGTTGTGGTGAGCTAAGATTGCGCCACTGCACTCCAGCCCAGGCAACAAGAGCAAAACTCTGTCTCAAAAAAAAAAAAGAAAAAAGTATTCCTACTCATACATGAAAAAGAAAAGATAGGATTGAAACGCTATCTCTTTGCTATCCCCGATGAATTAACGGACTAACCATGATAAGCATCAGCAGTTGCCAACATGAAAGGAGGATGATCCAACATAGTGTGCTTCTGGATGAAAGAACACAAGCCTACTGAGAATGTGGCCAAAGGGATTGACCCCAGTCTGATCAAGCCTCTGAGTCCAGCTGCCAAGTTGCAGGAAGCACGGAGGACAGAGGAACGCATGCAGCTAGATGGTGAAGATACAGTCAGCAAAATGTAGATTCTGGGAAACTGTTAACTGATAAGGAAAAGAAAGAGTAAGGAGAAACTCACAGATTAAGCCAGGCATGCATGATGATGTGCACCCGTAGTCCCAGGCACTCAGGAGGCTTTGGAAGGATCACTTGAGGCCAAGAGTTCAAGGCTACAATGAGCTGTGACAGCACCCCTGCACTCCAGCCTGGGTGACAAAGCGAGACTCTATTTCTTTATTTTAAAAAAAGTGAAATAATTAATTAATAAAAGAGGCTTTAAAGATGTATCTCTTTTTTGTGACAGGATCTCGCTCTGTCACCTAGGCTGGAGTGCGGCGGCGCAATCATGGCTTACTGCAGCCTCGACATCTCTGGGCTCAGGTTATTCCCCCAGCTCAGCCTCCTGAGTAGCTGGGACTACGAGGATGTATCTTTTTCTTTCTGGGCAAGTCTAAATAACAGTATCTAGGAATGCACACTTAGGTGATAAAGTATTGCCAGAAAGCATTTACTGTAGAAGTCGTTACTAGTTCATGGTTGGGTGAGGTAGGTTTAGGAAGCTAAGATTGGGAAGGACAGCTTAGGGAGGGTGCTTGCAAAGCTCTATACCGTAACCTGGATAGTGGTTACAAAGATGTTTGCTTTATAACTCATTAAATCATACATTTGTCTTGTGTGGTTTTCCTTATCTATGTTTATTTTATAATTTAAAAAAGCACCTTTTTGCGGCCGGGCGCAGTGACTCACACCTGTAATCCCAGCACTTTGGGAGGCTGAGGTGGGTGGATCACGAGGTCAGGAGATTGAGACCATCCTGGCTAACATGGTGAAACCCCATCTCTACTAAAAATATAAAAAATTAGCCGGGTGTTGTGGCACGTGCCTGTAATCCCAGCTACTCAGGAGGCTGAGGCAGGAGAATCGCTTGAACCTGGGAGGTGGAGGTTGCAGTGAACCAGGTTAGCACCACTGTACTTCAGCCTGGGCGACAAGCGTGAAACTCCATATCAAAAAAAAAAAAAACACACTTTTTTTTTTTTTACAAAATTGAAATATTGAATAAATGAACAACATTAGTAGGTTTTGCTGTCCTCTCTTGATGGATGACAAAGGGAAAATTCAAAGAAGAAATCACAGTTTTCTCAGGACCACACAGCTAGTAAGTTGCCCAGCTGGGCTTGAAATCCAGGTGAGATACATCTGTTCATCAACAAATAGTTGCTGACACCTGCTGAGTTTAATGCTAGGAAAACAGCTGAGTTAAAACAGCCTGACTTCCCATCCACCTGCCTTTCCTGTGAGAAAGGGGGAGATGGATATGCAAGGGATACTTGCTGGTCTTGGTATCCACTTGGGCACAGCCACAGCATCCCCTAGCACCTGTCCCCTATGCAAAGCCCATGTGTTGCTCTCAGAAGTGGCAGCCAAGCCCACACCGTCTCACCCCCAGCTCTGAAGATGACAAAGCATTAGAACTCACCAGATCATCTAATGAAGTTTCACTTCTGTTTCTTAGCACCTCCCTGACTCTTCTGTTCCCTAGAGTGGAAGGAGGGTCTGGGAAAGGGTCTTTGCCTGAAACTGAGAAGCCAACATGATACCCCTCGATATCCCACCTGGGAAGGGGGCTGACAATGGGCTGAAGCAGACACGGAAGAGATGAACGTGGGTCATCAGCTTTGCAGGCTGGAGTCCCCTCCTGTATCTGCCTTATCATCTGGTATCCTCAGCACTTTTTGACACTTGGCCTTGTAGAAAGCATGAACACAATACATGTTTGGTGGGTGAATGAATGAATTTAATATATTATTTGTATCTATTTCAAACGAGTCTGAAGCTCAATACTTAAAAAATGGCCGGGCGCAGTGGCTCACGCCTGTAATCCCAGCACTTTGGGAGGCCGAGGCAGGTGGATCACGAGGTCAACAGATCGAGACCATCCTGGTCAACATGGTGAAACCCCGTCTGTACTAAAAATATAAAAAAAATTAGCTGGGCATGGTGGCGCATGCCTGTAATCCCAGCTACTCAGGAGGCTGAGGCAGGAGAATTGCCTGAACCCAGGAGGCAGAGGTTGCGGTGAGCCGAGATCGCGCCATTGCACTCCAGCCTGGGTAACAAGAGTGAAACTCCATCTCAAAAAAAAAAAAAAAAAAAAAACTTAAAAAATACAGTTGGGCATGGTGGCTCATACCTGTAATCCCAGCACTTTGGGAGGCCGAGGCAGAAGCATCATCCAAGAGTTTAAGACCAGCCTGGGCAGTATGGTGAAACCCCATCTCTACCAAAAATTTTAAAAAAACATTAGCCAGGCATGGTTGCATGTGCCTGTAGTCTCAGCTACTCAGCAGACTGAGGTGGGAGAATCACTTGAGCCTGTAGGTTGAGACTGCAGTAAGCCAAGATCACAGCACTGCCCTCCAGCCTGGGTGACAGGGTGAGGCCCTGTCTCAAAAATAAATAAAAATAAAAATACTTTATAATCATTCATTCTAAGACAGAGTTATAATAATGCCTATCCCTAGGGCCACTGGGAAGATTAAATCCATGAATAAATATAAAACACTTAGACCAGCACCAGGCACATCCCAATTCCGAAATAAGCTATTCATGTAAACTGAGAGTAGGTTGTCCCACTCCACATGGAATTACGGGTCAGTATAGGACCAGGGTCAGAGATCAAGGGGAGAATCACACTAGAATTTAGTATGAGGTTAGGATTAGAGGACCAGTTTGTGTCCATCCCGCAGTCAGACTTTTTAATTACCATCTACTTGTCTATTTATGTCCCGCATTGTCCCAGGCGGAGTCAGGCAGCTTGCAGGAATTCCAATTGCAGAAATCAAAAAAGAGAAAGATCAAAGTTTCTATGGACTGACTGTGTCCTCCCCAAAATTAATATATTGAAGCCTAATCCCTAATGGGATGGTATTAAGAGGGGAGACCTCTGAGGAGTGATTAGGTCATGAAGGTGGAGCTCTCATGAATGGGATTAGTTCCCTTTTGAGAAGAAGCATAAGAAAAGAAAAAGAGAAGAAACATTAAGAGAAGTCTGTCTCTTTCTCTCTCTTTCTCTCTTTCAATAGATCGATAGCTAGATCCCCCCCTCTCTACTATGGGAGGATACAATAAAACAGCTCTTTGCAAAAGCAAGAAGAGGATCCTCCCCAGATACTGAATCTTCCGGCACCTTGATCTTGGACATCTCGCCTCCAAAATCATGGTAAATAAAATTCTGTTCTTTCAGCCACCCAGGCTATGGTGTTCTGTTACAGCAGCCTGAACTGACTAAGACAGAAATGAATGTCATACTCCCAGGGTATTCATGCTGGCACCCTGAGGTCTTCTCAGCACAGAGCTGCAATTGGGCAACCAGATCCCAGGCCTTGCTGGTCACTCTAAAGGTCACACTGACAGCCTATGGTCAAGCACAGCCAGCTGCATGAAGTCCCGGTAAGAATTCCAGGAGATCCCCCAAGCAAAGTGTTGGCACAGGGTAAGTTCTCAATACATGTTGCTATTACTGTCAGTGCACAGGCTGAGGCGAATGTACAGCGAGCAGCAGGGACCAGCGTTTTATCACTGGCCAGACCACTACGTTCTCTCCCCATGAGCAGCCCCAGATTCAGAGCCAGAAAAAGTGGATGTTCAATGGCATCAGGTTGGGGGAGTCAAATACATTCCATGAAGGCCACGCCAATCAGCAGCTCTACAGATACTAGAAGTCTGTTGGCTCCAACCCTCTCTCCTTGGAATGTACCTGGACAGGCTCTGGCAGCTCTGGGCTCTGAATGACGAAACCCCAGACCTTTAGAGTGACCAGCAAGGCCTGGGATTTGGTTGCCCAATTGCAGCTCTGTGCTGAGAAGACCTCAGGGTGCCAGCATGAATACCCTGGGAGTATTACATTCTTTATATAGCTTGGATATATTTGGCTAGATGAGGAAAAGGCATATTTCTAATCCTGAGTGTGTGTGTGTGTGTGTGTGTGTGTGTGTGTGTGTGTTGGGGGGTTGTATTCAGTTCCCATTGCTGCCGTAACAACTTAACTACTTAAACAATACATGGTATTTTACAGTCCTGCATGTGAGAACAGGGCTAAAAATCAAGTATGCCACAGATCCATATTCTTTCAGGAGGTTCTGGGATAAAATGTGTTTCTAGCCTCTTCCAGCTTTTGGAGGCCGCCCACATTCCATGGCTTGTGGCCCTTACCCATCTTCAAGCCAGCCCCTGAATCACTCTGCCCTTTGATTCTCCTCTTTTTTTTTTTTTCTTTTTTTGTCACCCAGGCTGGAGTGCACTGGCACAGTCATGACTCAATGCAGCCTTGACTTCCTGCACATGTGATCTTCCCACCTCAGCCTCCCAAGTAGCTGGGACTTCAGGCATGCACCACCACACCTAGCTAATTTTTTGTAATTTGTGTAGAGACAGGAGTCCCCTGTGTTGCCCAGGCTGGTCTCAAACTCCTGAGCTCAAGCAACCCACCTGCCTCAGCCTCCAAAGTGCTGGGATTACTGGTATGAGCCACCATGCTGACCTCTGACACCATCATCATGACTCTTTCTCTGACTTTCACCCTGCATTCCTCTTATTAGGACCTTGTGATTACAGTGGGCCCAGCCAGATAATCTGGATCATCTCCCCATCTCAAGGTCCCTATCTTAATCACATCTGAAAAGCCCCTTGAACCATGTTAAGGTAAAGTATTTTCAGGTTCCCGGAGTTTGGATATAAAATATCTTTGGGGATCATGCTTCTGCCTATCCCAAGAGCCTAGTGTTATAAATTTTTAAAATGCTGTGAATCTTCTGCCCTCTGCTCTCCCAGGAGAGGGACTCTGGAACCAAAAAACCATTTCTCAGTCCAGAAAGAATTTTGGCAAAATGTCCCATCAGAAGATAAAGAAAAGGGGTGAATTATCTCTTTGGGTCTTTCCAGAGTCAACAAGATATTATGCTCACCTCTTCGTGGTCCCAACATTCACCTCTCCGTGGTCCCACCATTCACCTGTGTTGCCCATCCGGGGTACAGGATAAAGGATAGTAGCTAGTATCAAGCTTCGCCTGCTGGGAGTAATCCAGGCCACTAAAGACTTCATACCTGCTTGTGCACTTATGATTCAAAAGGCCATTTCTTTACGTCCTGAAATGGCCCAAAGAAGCAATGGCCCAGGGACCATTTGCAGGGGCTGCCTTCTAGAACTGCAGAAAGTATGAAATGGTCCCAAGCAAAAAAACACTGGTGTTCCCGGGGTCCCAGATCCACCTTCCACATCAGAGCCCCAGTTCCCAGTTTACCTGACTTGCTGGCACTGTGCCTGGGCTCCCGGCCATGGAGACCATGCAGTATGGATGAGGCAGAAATAACCAGGAGACGCTCCAGCTGCCAGTGTGCAGATGCCACCACAACTGGCAACAATCAAGTATCACACTTGTAAAACAATTCTTTTAGCTAAAAGTCATACATTTCCTCTTATTTAAATGACAGGCTGATTTTTGCCTCTGCCTACAGGAAACACATACACAGGAAGTGGTCAACCTTCATCTTCTGAAGGGGGAAGTGGTCAAATACCAAGATCAGAACCTGGTCTATTAATCACTGGGCAGGAGTGTGTAGAGGAAGCCAGGCTGGGGAATGGAGACTCTGCCTGGGACCACATCAAACCCAGATTACAAACGAGCATTGGTACCTGAAAGCTGTTCTGTCTCTACCTGGAGACTTTTCACTTCTTTGCTCTGGACAGGCTTGGTTGATCCCAGAATTTAACTGGATTTCACTCTCAAAAGCAGTCTTATTACCCTCATTTCTATTTCACCTCAAGGACTAACCATTGCAAGAGTTAAAAAGTTAAATTAAAAAAAAGAGTTGGGGGATGAAGAAATAGGGACAAAAGGGAAATGGGAGAAGAAAAGCTAAGAGCAATCAGGAGTGAGGTTAGTGCAAGCAATGCAGTTTATAAACTCCTAGGTCCTTGGAAACTATGGGCCACAAATCTGACTCTGAGCTTCCTAGCAGCCATTGTGAAAAGGGAATGTGATCCATCACTGATTCATAAAGCTTGACAGGTAAAAAACAAAACTGTTTTCCCCCAAAGAAAATGCCTATTCCTATTATTAAGATTTGGAAGAAATTTCTTCTGGGGCACACAGAGAGGCCACTGGGCAGAAAAAACAAACACTGTCCTTAGCAAGATCCACACAAAATTTGGCAACCAGTTTCCTAAGGCAGTGTCTTCTAACTCTCTTCAATTAATACCATATGTGTATGTTTGAGTGTGTGTATCTGTATGTGTGTGTGTGAATATCATATAAATGTATGTGTATGTATATACAGACTTCTAGGTACAGAAATACCTACCTATGTTCACCACTGGACATATACTACAAGAGTAATACACACACATACATATATATAACACATATAATGCTAAATCCCAGTTTAGCAAAAAGTTACTTCCTATTGATCTTCCAAGCTTAAGTGCAACAAAATGCCTAATCAGATGAGAGTTACCGGTTGGGCACGGTGACTCATGGCTGTAATCCCAGCACTGTGGGAGGCTAAGGTGGGTGGATCTCTTGAGGCCAGGAGTTTGAGACTAGCCTGGCCAAAGTAGTGAAACCCCATCTCTACTGAAAGTGCAAAAATCAGCCAGACATGATGGCATACGCCAGTAATCCCAGCTACTCAGGAGGCTGAGGATGGAGAATTGCTTGAGCCCATGAAGCGGAGGTTGCAGTGAGCCGAGACTGCCACTTGGCTGAGCAACAACAGAGTGAGACCCTGTATCCAAAAAAAAAAAAGTTACTAAGAATAAGTAGTTAAGTGATTGAAGCAGTCCTCTGTAAGTTTATGAATTTGAGAGATTTATAAATTTTTGCCAAAATGACTAAAATCTTTTATTTGGATTTTAGAAACGTTGAGCTGGATCCCTTTTCAATGTCAATAATAAGATAGCAGGGCCAGTTCCATTCAAATCCCTTCTATTTATTAATAATAAAATCGATACATCTGCACAATAGCTCATCTGCATTGCAGGCCCATCCAAGAGTGGTATCATCAGTACACATCATCCAGAAAGTCTACAGTGGAAAAGACGAAAGGTCTAGAATGAATAACGGAAGGACGTGGAACTACTGAAACTGCATACCCTATGTGGAGCATGTAAATCGGAATAACTACTTCAGAAGAGTAATTGTTAGCATCTACCGAAGCTAAATCAGCACAACCCCATAGCCCAGCAATTCCACTTCTAGGTACAGAGATGCCTAGCTCTGTTCGCCAAAGGACATATACTACCAGATCCATGGTAGCACTGTTGGAAGTGTTCATAAACTTCCAACTGGAAGTACCCAAATGCTCATTGACAATAGAATAGATAACTAAGTTGCAGTATAAATTCACACAATACACAGGGCACGGTGGCTCATGCCTGTAATCCCAACACTTTGGGAGGCTGAGGCAGATGATCGAGGTCAGGAGATCAAGACCATCCTGGCCAATATGGTGAAATCCCATCTCTACTAAAAATACAAAAATTAGCTGGGCATGGTGGCATGTGCCTGTAATCCCAGCTAGTAGGGAGGCTGAGGCAGGAGAATAGCTTAAACCAGGGAGTCAGAAGTTGCAGTGAGCCGAGATCGCGTGACTGCACTCCAGCCTGGTAACAGACTGAGACTCCATCTCAGGAAAAAAAAAAAAATTCACACAATGAAATACAGTCATCCCTCAGTATCCATGAGGGATTGATTCCAGAACTCCTACAGATACAAAAATTCAGGAATGCTCAAGTTCTTTACATAAAATGGCATCGAATTTGAACATAACCTATGCACATGCCCCATAAACTTTAAATCATCTCTGGATTGTTTATAATACCTAATATAATGCAAGTGCTTTGTAAATAGTTGTTATACTATATATGAAGAAAATAACCACAAGGGCCAGAGGTGGTGACTCACGCTTGTAATCACAACACTTTGGGAGGCCAAAGCAGGCAGATCATCTGAGGTCAGGATTTCAAGACCAGCCTAGAAAACATGGTGAAATCCTGTCTATACTAAAAATACAAAAATTAGCCAGGCATGATGTTGGGTGCCTATAATCTCAGATACTTGGGAGGCTGCAGCAGGAGAATCACCTGAACCTGGAAGGCAGATGTTGTAGTGACCCAAGATCACACTACTGAACTCCAGCCTGGATGACAGAGTGAGAGGAAAGAAAAGAAAGAGAAGAAAGGGAGAGAGGGTGAGAGGGAGGGAGGGAAAAAAGAATGACAAGAAAAAGCCTGTACATGTTCAGTAAAGACGCAATTTTTTTCAAATATTTTTAATCTGTGGTTGGTTGAATCCATGGATGCAGAATCCATGGATATGGGAGGCTGACTGTGCACAGCAAGCCAGTCAACAAGAACACACATCAGTGTGGATGAATTTCACCAACAGATGTTG